ATCCATATAAAATCGATATTTCTTTAAATCAATCGGGATTATATGTTTTATATACTTTTACTCCATGTCAATATACTTTTCTGAATATTCTGTCACCGTGAATTTTGTTTCAATAATTTGCCTTAAATGTTGCTGTTTTAGATTAGATTTTTGCAGGAAAACTCAGCAATAAAGTTGGACACATCTTTAAAGATTTGCTAGGTATGTGGAAAGTAAACAAAAATAACCTTATTACGAAATATAGGGCGGATAGTCGATGGAGTATTATACCCAGGTTGTGGGTACTCTTAATGGCCTAATTCATTAGAATTTCACTTTTAAAATCCTCATTCATTAGATTTTAACCCGGGTATCTAAGCCTTAAGATATTTCTACTCGCTGTGTGAATTATCAGGGGTGTTTCCAGCTCCACCGAATGCACTGACAACATCTACTAAAAGCTATAAAATTCACACAACTACACCGTTAACGTCACTCGTTAGCTGTGAAAAATGTCAAACTTTATAATATAATTAGATGAAATTAGTGTCGGATATTTACACGATGTTTGTGTTGACGCTAAGCATGGCTAGCAATAAAAGACAAAGCGTTGTGCTAACACCAAGTTGAATAAAGTCGTTTTCCTTTGCGAGTTTGTAAACATGAGTATCGTGTGTGTAGACTGTCTCAACATGTCATTGTGAATCTGAATCACTGTACATGGACCTCGGAGTAAACTATACTGAGGATATTATGACTTTACATGAAGATATATCTGAATGGTGACGTAATAAATACGAAGCTAGGAACCACCCATTATCAACCTAGCCCGACATTCCAGTATCCCAGTGTTTGCCTGGAAACCTCGACGAGTGCGAATGACATCTGTGGGTAGCGTTACCTCATGAAAAGAAAGGCTTCATGCTTTTTGATTTTGTATATTTGTCTAATGATGTATCATAGATTTGCACATGTTACGTCGCACGACCCTACAGGAATCTACGTTTGATGGTTACTGTGTCGCGATTTCAGAAACATATAAATATATATCTTCTAGATTTTATCCAAGATTGATGGTTCAATTTCGCTACCTGTTGCATCTTTCTGAATCCAAATGAACAAACTAAACCAATGAATCGTAAATATTTAAGACATTAGTATAGTATTCAGTCAGGTGGACATTATTAACCTTATTACATTTAGTCCTCCAAACATCGATATAGTAGTCATTATAACGAAACGAGTTCTATAAAAGCTTATTACTTATCTTTCTATCCTGTTGTCATTACGCTCTACAGTACACGTTGTTTATTGACTTATGTCCTGAATCAAAGAATGTTTTAAAAGCAAAGCTAACCATCCTGATTTGGTCACTTTTACACTCAGCTGCCAGTCAACAGCTGAGAGATGTATCCATCGTAGGTTATGAAAGCTATACATTGCTTAAATTTCATTCATGAAAATATTTGTAAACAGCATATAACCTTACATACGTGAAAACGCGAGTGTTTATTTTATTGAGACTGACACGTCTAGAGTTTTTCTTAGAGAACTAGGGCAATCAAACAATGACATGCAGTCTGCTATGAAAAGAAACTATCAACAATTATTATTTGCATCTTTCAGTGTCGACAAAACTTAGAAATAACATTTAAACTATATCATTTTTGAAGCATGTTTTGTACGTAAGAACATACGTAAAGTTTTGTACTCCATTTCCCCTTCGAGATCTGGTTCCTCCTTCTCTTCCTCTACTAATCTTCCATCCCGGTAGCTACACACACATGCCTGACAGACATCGATAGATTGATAAAGCTCCATTTCTACCACTGAACACCATACATCACCGTATATAACTAGTTGTGTGTGTTACAGTGACAGATTTATGAATAACTTTAGATATCAGCATGTTTTATGTGACTCCCCTCGACGGTAAAGCTAATACATTATGTGTTAACTGGACAGATGTGATGTTGTGTTTCAATATACCCTGTTTTTCTAGTGTTAAATAATTTACGACGTCTTTTAAAGGGATCTACATATAACCCAACAGTCTTGTTAGAAACGATGTTACATAATAAAACTGCAATGTTTTTTAGTGTTGAAGTAAGAAATAGCAAATGCCGTACATCATATATTAATAAGTTTGATATGCTATGAGGAGGCGGGCAGTGTTGATGTTGTGCTCATGTTTCACCATGCTACATACACTGCCATTAGGAGGACACGTGTTTTAATAGATTTAATGTACATGGGTATGTCTGTCATGGCGTAAATGTGGTGTATACCCGAGTTAACTTTTACTGGTAAGAGGTGACACACCAGTCAACAAGTGAACACATTTATCACAAGGACCATGGGGACTTCAATTGGATTCCTGTGACCTGTGGGTATTTTTACATTACAGGTTTTCGATCCGTCTAAACGCTAAATAACCTTAATAATAATAATGTGATTTTAGGTGAACTTGCCTTTCAGTCACATTTGTAAGCGTGGTATGCTCTAATGCTTGCAGTATTCATTCCGACGTACGACCAGAGTATTTCAGAGCTTTTCACGTTAAAGGATGGTCTAAAGTTATGTATGAAAATCTACAAATTGAGTAAACGCCGCTTTAAAAACATCTAAATTGATATCTATGAATCATTATAAATGCTATATGAACCACTATTGCCGTGTACTTAAGTATATGAACGAGGTGCGATTTAAAATGAAACAGGTGAAAAACCACGTAAATTACAGGTATGGGGGATTTTAATGGAATATTTTGACTTTGTTGACGAGAGAATATCCCCACTATGCCTCCAAGTAGACACGGATCAGCAGGTAAAAGATGGAGATATTTACGGTGTGACTTTTCTACCTGTATATACGCTAGCCAGGTGTTTCGGCTGGTATTGAGATGTTCAGCATGGACCTACATTTCTATTGATATACGGACATTAAGGATACAAAGGTATGCCCCCTTCCCGTCACTTATAGCCTAATAAAGATCTTATTATACCACACATGCTCACAGGGGGCCAGCCAGTTTACAAAATACTGCATATTCGTCAATTTTCGCGGGATAGTATTTATTGCGGATACAAGTGGATCACATTTTGAAATATTTCGGGAGTTTTAATTCATACAGCGTATTAAATGGGTTGCAAATTAAGACTTCCCTAAAAAAAAGACGGTGTAATGGAATCAAGTAGGCGTTATATACATATTTTTCATCATTTTGTGAGTACAAATCTTCGAGAACACGCTATTGAACGTGCACTCCAGAAAATCGGTCGCCATAAACTTTAGCAGAACCAGATTTAGCTAGCGTTAGTATCTGGGGAAATACCATTATGCATTATCAATATTCATTGTATGTATTGTAATTAATTCGGGAAAATGTTTTGCAATATCTTGTTTTTATTTAGCGACAACAAATGCTACAAAGATTAACGTTTTGATGAACACGTGTACTACATTCTGTAGACCAGAGAGTGGCGGTCCGCCCTCTGCTTATATTGATAGAAAACTACCGGCCCGGAAGATAAAAATGTGTTCATTTACCGCCAATACGGAAGGGAACAGCCCCTTAAAAACAATGTGCCATTATTGATGTTATTTTAGACCATTTTATTCGATTACAGTGTCTACATTCGCGGGGTTTACGTAAGTATGCGAGAGTCAGACGCCGTCTCCAATGGACGCTATAAAACGTTCATAGTATATGATTCGGGGTGTTTTGGGGGCAAACTATCCTTATTCTGATCTGAAATTATTGGTAATATTAATAGGTTCTGTCGTGTGTCAGACAACTTATAAACTATGACGGTAACTTAAGCTTTATCGCACTGACGGTTAACCAGTTATGTATACAGCCCTGAGTGCTTTCCAAAGTCCACATTTCAGATAGCCATTGTTTCTAGTATAGTTTACACACGTTGAGAAATGGGAAACAACTCATCTTCAGATTTGTTAGTTCAATACTCAGTTTGTTAAACGGAATAACCTTACTTACAGATTAGTATAACGAACTTTTTTTCGAAACATCTCATTGCATTTACACACTAATCTTATATCTAGGAGTTGAAAGGAATTATATATATTCTAAAAATTCAAAAATGACATTCTTGTCTTCTGCGTGAAGGACAGAATGCAGTAAAATGAAAACGTATTTCTTTTTCAACGATGGTTTTAGTAATTGGATGTCAACACTCATTTCAAAATTCATTCCCTATATTTACATAATTTGGGCTTTAATATCTACCAACATTAAATTGACACTACAATGGAGAATGTCCTAGGGACGATTGGAGAAAGTGTCCGGCATTGTCGGCCTAAAATGGGCAGACAATCGTCGTGTGATTTACGGGTCCTGTAGCACGTCCTGAAGATCCTGGGAAAGAAGCCTCGGCCATTACACTTATAAAGACGCGAGTCTCCACACCCCAATAACGACAAGCGATCGGCGATAAATTATTCGCCACATATCTCGTTAATAAAAGGTTGGACATAGATCCAGCTTAATCCCATTGTAACCCTAACATCAAAATACCCATTAAATCTCTCTAAAAGTCGACGCTGGATGATTGCCGGAAAGCAGGTCTATATTTATGCGCCGAGGCTTCAAGTCAGGGGGAGGGTAGAGGGCGCGCGGCTTGAGTGTTCACGATACGCCACACAATATGTCGGCGAGAAAGGCAAACCAAAACGTCACTCAAAAACGTCAATTTTGTAAAATTTAAATTCTGATGCGTTGCACTATTAATAATTTCATTCAGACTGTTTTGTCAATTATTCATTAAATTTGTTACTTTACAAAGTGTTTCGATGTGACAAAAAGATAACTTCACGACTCCTGACAAAGCTGATATGTACAATGATAAACGATGACATCTAAAAGAGAAATTCTCAATTTCTTATTTTCGTTCCCGGTATGGATATTGGTGTTTATGCAGACGTAAACATGTGCCGCATATAAAGACAATTTGCCAAAAAAATAGGTTTTACAAATATTGCAACTATTTAACATGACCTACCTTTCTTCCGGCTTCGTTGTTATGTAAATTCATCAGTTTTCTTCCAGAATTTTTAATATTTCTTCGTCTCTCACGGGCATCAACGAATTCTTTTGAGAACGCTGTGCCATATGCTACATTGTCTGAACAACCAGACCACTCGAATCCCTTGGGACTCCGTCCCGTCACTGATCGGTCACAACCACACCTACTTAGGGCGCCACTACTGCAGGCGCGCGTGACTGCGTGTGCAACTCCTGCTGCAGAGATGGCATGAACAAATGACGCTTCTCTGGTACCTGTAATGAGAAAGGTTGACATAAATAAAACACATTTAGTTTGATTTTCTTTTACTTTTATTTCACATGCTCTTATTTTTATTTTGCATGATTCTGAAACATTTCAAACTAGTTTTGTTTAAGACATAACTGATTTGAAATAAGAGTACCCTAGAACCCATTACTTTGGTTTTGTGTCGATGTTATATATATATTTCAAATCTGGAAATTGGCTATGTAATATTTAATTTCTATCATTTGAAATAATTCCATATGGATTATTGCATTTTGATGTATGAGTACAGGCCATCTACTATCGTGTAGGAGGACTTCCCACACGACTGTTATCGCACATAGGACAGAGCGGCTACCACTTACGGGTATCTTTGTACATGTAAGAGGGAGATAGCTTTAGCGGTAATGTAAACCATTTCACTCCTAACGGTAATGAAAAAACATCATAAACTTATTGAGGCGTGGAGACGGACATCAGGCTTAGGTCGCCAAGAAGTTGTTACCATTGCCACCGGTCTCATAAATCACCGGCACGTGCGCATTGTCTCTTATGGTGTTAGACAAAAACAAACAAACCGGAAGTCAAGACATTCCCTGATGATAAAAATTAGTTTTTGAAAATACTAGAAGCAATGGATTTTAATTTTAAAGTGTAGATTCAATCGATATAAAAGTTAGTTGCGTAAAATAATCTTCAAACTTAATAAAAAAGCGGCTACAAAATTCTGAAATTTGCAAATTGAATGAAGAATCGTTATTTTTCAATCTAACCATGCTTTAGAATATCTTTAGGTTGATTAATGTCCCGGTCACTTACTAGCTCTTCTCAAATGTTCTCAAAATGTGTGCTTTCAATTGTGCTTTATCTCCTTGTACGTAATACACTTTAACGTTAGCGAGATGGTATCAACTCTCGATAGTTCCGATCAGCGAACAGCAATCCTGAATTAACAGCCGTCTTCATTCACACTTAAAGCGAGAAGCGTGAATTATTTGAGACCCTAAACGTTATTTATATACAGAAAATATAACTGGAAACATTTGACAAAACACTTCAGCGTTAAAATTCATCATGGCAAGTGATGGGTCTTAAATAAGCTTTATCTTTTTAAAGGAAAGTTACAAATTAGGAATGTTTATATCTGATCACAGCTAAGGCCAAGTGTTTTTAATGCATATACTTCCGGTTACCTGTAGCTAAGTAGTATTTTATTTCTGACCTGTCTCTCCCACTCGAGATGAGGTTTTTGTCGCACATGTCACGTCATTTATCCTTCATTGCAGGTATTTTCTTTCAAAATAACGAATTTACATAAGCAGTATTCTATATATGTGAATATGTAACCCACCCACACATATAGCCTACCGTCGTCACGGAATGGGCAAGCTACACTATTACTGATGAATGTTAATTGTTTATTTAACACATTATCACTGTTAAGGATAGTTTGCAGGACGGTGTAATGCGCTCCTTTCCTACCTATCAGCCAGCAGCATTGCTTCATACCTATTTATCACCGACCCGTCTGAGTAAGATTTTTTCAGCTCTTACGTCAAAATATAAATAAAAGTAATAAATTTATCTGATCTCCTAAATTATGCTGTATTAATCATATTTTTGTGTCCCAATTGTCCGACTGTTCTTGGTTTACTAAAGAGCGACTAATTTCCCGAGGAAGAAAGTACTGTGTCTGACGAGTGTCAACTGATGAAATATAGAGGCAAGTGATCCCTGTTGGAGCATCACTTTATCCTCATCCATTTAAACAAACAAACACGACAGATTTTTTTCCGTTCGCCTTCGTAACGTTATATGTTAGTGTCAACAAAGTTAATAAGCTGAGAATACGTCCGCCTCAACACCTGGTGACCGCTAGGTGTCCTACTGTGTTGTGACTATTATAGATTACTAGCCCTTCTTAATAAGGGCTGCATCGAATTTAGTAAAATAAAACTGATCTAGAAACTGAATGCATAAGATTTAGATCTTAAAAAACGTCTGTATATTGTCACGTTAAGCAAAAGAAACTCAGTTCAGTTGTGTTCTCCGGAATAGTGTCAGAAGAGCCCAAACGGACTCGCCCCTGATTCTTCAGCAACAGGCCCCACACAAGAAAGGTTACACATGTCATACATTAATCCAGAATTTGTATTACTGACGGGCGACATTTGTTCAACTTTTTCTGTTTTGTTTACATATTGACAAACACCGTGTATGTAAATACAATTTAGTATCTGTGTATGAACGGTGTTTGACAAATAACGAAATAATAAAGAGCCTACCCGATGTTCCATTAAGATGAACTTACCGCTATTATTCCTACCGATTCCGTTCGAATAGCGTTTATCTTACATATTTACATTTATAAAACTAAGCAAACTAACACAGTCGCACGAATGTTATATAACCTGTTTGAAAGCTTGAAATCAATATGATTAAATAAATAACGCACTTGTTCCCTAACTGTTTGTAAGCGTGATGATCGGGCAGTGATTGAGTTTAGCCAGCGTAGGATTTCACACGTCCAGTAAAAATACCCTCTGTTTACTCTATGGTATAGAAATATAAAACTCATAAGAATCAGCAATTTCGAGAATTTTTCTCGCTATTTGATAATGTCAGTCATTTTCTTCCGTGCCAGATCTGATTTCGAAGATTGGATGAAAGGTGTAGAGGATTTAAAACATAGGATGTATGTACTTTAAACATCAAGTATATAATATATAAATGTCTGTCTGTCTGTGTGTCGGGTATACGGTAGATCTCTCACCGTTGTGACATATATTTACTTGCCGTAAACTGGAGTTTACCGATATGTATACATAGCTAAAGCTCGCTGAATTAGCATGAAGGTGACGGAAAGTGAATTTAGAACGGTTCAATACCGAGTCTTAAGTTTGGTTAGCTTGACGCGCTAAAATGAAACATCGTTAAACAATGTCGCGATTGATGAATATAACTTAAAAAAAAAAACAGATCATAAAAATAAACTAAACCTTCGATCGTTGATAAAAAAAAAAAAAAAAGGAACGTTGAAGTATATGCATGCTATTGTTATTTTGCTGCTTTGTTATTATTATTATTATTATTTATTTTTTGAAAAAATGAAGGATATCGAAATGATCTCAATTCATATTTGGGAGGGACTTTTATGGAAATGGGCAACTTCATTGAAATTACCTCAATTCTTATTTTGGAGGCACGTTTATGGAATAGGCTATTTTGGTTGGAATTGCCTAGATTCTTATTTGAGAATGAGGAATGTTAAAATGATCTCATTCATTCTTATTCGGGGGAGGGAGGTATTCAGTGTGTGATTTACACCTTACACGTACGTATAAAAGTGCGAGAGGCGATGTCTGCCCTGTATAGCGTCACGACGGTGGGTCGATTTTACATCGTATCGTCATCTGGTCACAGCTCACACTAAATAAAGACACATTTTATGTCACGTGGGGGCGTTTTTATCATCAAATTTGGGGGAAAAGTCTAACTTTGAGAAGATAAATTAAGGCTAATGACATCAAAAAGGGTTTGTATGGTTAAAATTCCACATGCATGTTCGTATTCATTTATTTTAACACCTATAGTTTCTGCGTTAACAGTTTATAAAACAGTTAAAAGGCGGTGTACTTTTAACATTAAAACAGGCGTATCCAAAACAACCGCCATCGATTTCATCTGTTATCTACGACAGGCATTTTGTAAAGTCGGCTACTAATGCAACTTAAAGTGTATCACGAGAAGTAATGCAGGTATATGTTAAACACACATTTATACAGTATAAGCACTGCGTTTGCTAATGAGGTTTTTTAGCTACCAATTTACTATTGAAAATAGCCAAAAAGTCTTTAAGAACCATCTTAATAGGCTAAGGCATGCCAACGACCCTCAAATTGTATGTGCCAACTGCTAGATATTGAGATGATTTCATAGTCCTGTGTTCCCAATACAGTGAAACCTCTGAGGTACGACCTTCACTAGTTATAGTACTTCCACAATCCCAGCGTTTTCTAGCGTCTTTTCCCTCGATTCTATGTTCTGTTCAACATGTTGGACTAAACATATTCCTCTATAAATGGTTACCTCAGAGGTTGTCAAATCGAAAAATACAATTTGAACTTTTTTGAAGATTACTGTTTTTAGAGCTTTCTCTCTTAAAAGTTATATTTATCGTTGTCTGAATGTTTAGAAACTCTTTGAAACAAATGGGTTGTGCTCTCCAAGAGTGTCAAAGATGCATTTAAATATACCTGGGTTTATTTATATGCACTTATCTACAATTGTTGGATGGACAATCCATGGTGTCCAAGCCCATGAATCGAAGATTTACTAAGGAATGTATAACTTTTTTAGGAAATCAGAGCAAGGTAGAATATAACCTTAATTAATATATTTTATTAATGTTTGAAAGTTGGGACATCAAATACATAAAACCAAAATTTCACTCACCTAATTTAAGAACATTTCCAAAAACTTTTTTCGCATTAACAGTACTACAGTTCCACCGACGGTTACGGAACTGAAATTGACACTCGTCTATAGCCGAATGAGCACCGTGTTTTACGCTGTCCATTACTTCTAAATTTTTCCTACATATTTTCTGCTGTCGTTTCACTAATCCAAATAAGGAATCACACATTTCAGGAACTTGTATTGCTGCCACGCTATTCATCCGCGCGAGAGATCTGAAAATAAGAGAGAAAAACAAACAAATTAATGACATGATATATACATAGGAACTAGTCTAATAACAAAAACAAATAAAAACATGCCCATGTATATAACTCAGTATATCAATGAATAAAGAACAACTTTATTTGAATAACAAGAGATAAACGATCAAAAGTGCGAGTTAAATACTCCACCTTCTCGTACGTCTCCGTTATTCTTCCCTTATATGCAGTTGGTCTGTGCTCATTTATACAGCTTTTTTTTTTTAAATATTTTTTAAAATCAATGTAGTCACGAGTACTCCCTAAATAAATTAATATAATAATTAATTGAAAAAAAATAGATATATTTATATTGGGTTTATTTATATAGGGTTTATTTTCAATTACATTATATACTTGTTAATGACACCTGCGTATGGAATGTTGGGTCTACCTGGTACGTATATGGGTTACCTTATGGTTTAGTACAACAGATGTCTGCAGTGATCGATTGGGGTACATTCATTTATATTATGAGCAATAACATTTGCATGCATAATGCGATGATAACGTGTTTATGACACCGATATCTCTATTTTCATTTCTTCTGCGTTAGATTTGAAACTACCCACCTTGCAGGTGTTTTGTTAGCTAGTTGTTTATGATTTGTCTTATTATGAGCTATTTGTGTCAATGTTTGACAAATTGTTTGTCCGATGACGGAGTATATTAATGAGACGTCTATACATGTTTGATGGAGTTTCAAGTCTTATCATTTTTCTCACATTGATCGTCAAGTGTGTTGGTATAGTGATGACGTTTACCACGGCTGTTTTTATAATATCACAGCATTGATGACGTTTGTCACATTGAGGCGATTAATGTGTTCTGACGAAGACAGCTAACTTCTGCAGGCAATGTTACATCAAACGGTACAAAATACAATGATGAGTAAAACACACAATGGGGTTGTAACAGGACGCGGCGCAGAAGACAACTCACATTAGTGTGTCCGAAACACGTCCGGATTTCTCTGTCTCCGCTTTGTGCTTTGTTCTATAGTTAGAACACGACTCCGGGCACTGGCTACGAATACGAGTACGTCTGGTTGATAAATCATTTCATAATCTTATCTAGGTAACTAGACTGGACACCAAGTCAAGACCGTATTTAAACTCAATTTATATCAAAGATTTTATTTATATATGGAATATGCCGGTACACATGGAATGTGTGTACCGTCAACTAGAATAAGTTTTTGAAATGTCTCCAGAGTGTAGACGTATATATAGACACATGTATAGCTATATAGTTAGTTGCTATATAAGATATTGCACGCGCATATCGGTAAATCAGTAATAATAAGAAGCCCTAAAGCAATTATCGTGTACTTATCTCAAATTAAGATATATTAATAATTCAGTAATATTCAAATAAGTTAATTACATATATTGTGATGTGTTCTCAAAATAGTCCCCAGTCCCCACCTACCGTCCCCCTCCCTAGGGCGCCCGTCGTCGTTAGGTTAGGGCTTCTGGACAAGGCTGTCCATGTGATTAATGTTAAACTGAGTACAAAATGGATCACACAAGATAAAACGATTTAATTACCAACTATGACTCGAACTGGTTAATGTGTGAAATCAATGGTTTGAGTGACTAGCTCATGATAGGGATTCCTTTAATAATCTGTGAATACATTTATGCATACAAGTATAAATTTATTGAATGAAATACGGCCAAGACTTTTCATTTTCATCTGAACAGAAAAATATTTTCGATAGCTATAGGATTTTTATTACTTTTTGAGGAGTTATCACAAAATGATCTGATAAATTCTTATTTAAGTAAAATTCCGAAAAAGACTTTATGTGTTTTAGCCCCAGGGAAGTTCCACTGTGAGCGTTAGCTCTGTCAGTGTAAGGGCTATTCATAACCAATAGGCGAAGATAAAAATCTGAATTATTCAATGTAGTTTTTAACACTTGGGGTATTTTAACATATATACATTTATTTATCATGAGGTAGATCAGTCAGTTAGCTTTAACAGATACAATTATGGTACGGATGTTTCCCCGACCAATGGACCGTGTACTGATAATTTATATTTTTTATCACGTGATCATATAACTCCTCCAAAGCTATTTGTCAATCGTAGATGAATATGTTGATGTATTTTTGAAGTGTTCGGTCCCTTTGTAAGGAAAGTCCTTAATTTAAAGTGATTCCTTCACTGAAGATTTCCTTTAGACAACTCTTGACTGGAGATTATTCGTAACTACAATAAAAGCGGAGCTAACAGGATACTTATTTTCTTCTGCGACACTAAACTAAACATGATAAGTTTAAAAACTCAAATATACATCTCACCATAGAGTAAACACCGAGACATGTAGGTGACAAGAGTCTAATTTTTGGAGACATGTGGTATGTTTCATTCATCGTACATATCCGACATTGTGACCTCACGAACAGAATGTGTGCGGAGGGGTCGTGAACCTGTACGACGGAGAAGGGGCACTACACCTTTACCAGTATCCTAAACGTCAGGATAGATCAGATTCTCTGCCGATTCTAGATTTCAGAGCCTCATGTATGTGTGAATGCAACTGCCGACACTGTTGTATTTATAAACACTCATAGAACACGTATACCGTTAAAAAATGCATGGCCAGACGAACTGTGTACGTATTACAGGAAAAAAATCCAAAAGTGACACTCGTATATGTATACAAGTATATACATATATGTACACACATCTATTACTTTAACAAAATAGCATCACAATTCGTTGTGGTGGTAGAACTTTACATTAAAAAAGAGATCGGACTTCCTAATACTTTCACCTCTTCCAAATGCTCCTCAGGGGAGATATTTGATGTACATGTTGTACGGCTACATATGGTACACAAAGAACAATATATAGGCCAATCGTATTAGTTTGTCGTTAATACAAAATGAAAATTATACGAAAAAATGGTGAAATTAAATTTTGATATTGAACTTTAGTATTAACTGGTTATGGATAGCTATAGTAAAGTACAGAGACTAGTAAACCTGCTGATTTAAACAGGTGTGATAAAGAAACATGTCAGGTATGTTGGTGTGACTAATATCAAAAACGAATCTGGTATATTAATGATCAAAATAAATAAAGAGTACCAAAGCGTAACCGTTACAATGTATTACACTTCTCCATCATTATAAAACTGTATGCTCTATAGATGTAAATGTTTTTGATAGAAATTTCTACTTCTCCATTCATCTCCGTCAAACAGGCTGAGATATATATGTATATTCAATTGTATGCGGAATATGATGTCGGTGCTCCTTAGAAAAGTGAAAAGTTGGGTTTTTCTTTTTTTATCTTTTCTGATCTAAAATGATATCAAGGTTTAACATCAGCCTGGTGTTGTCAAAATTCATTTAAATTTAAAATGAAGAGAGCAACATCTACAATAAATTAATAAAACATATTATCGTAATGTTTATGTGCTGGTTATCTACACTTTATCTACCTGAGTAGGTATTCCATGGAGAGCGAAATCTTCTGTCTGACAAAATTAGATCACCCAGACAATACCAGCTACCGCCCTTTGTTGGGAACAGTACTACATTATAAAATTTAAAAACATTCATTTTGACGTAATTTGCATTTTGGTCCCAGAAATTTGTACTTTAAGGGTATATGCTACCGTACCAATTGTACTTATGTGTTAGAGTTATCTCCCTTGAATCTGGTTTCAAAAACATTTAAAACTGTCTGGAATCCTCGATGCATGTATTATTGTTTACCTTTCAGATGTGTTGTTAATTTCTTATTTTATCTAAACAAGTTTTCATTTGGAAAAGACACTTCCTAGTTTCCAAGCATGGGACTCTTTTTGGAAAGGAGATACGAAACTACAATAAGATTGTGTAGATATAACCTTAAAAGCACTTCAATAATATACCTTTTAGTTTGAACGTTTTTGTGATTATCGGAGGAGAACTTTAATTTTATACCCAGACAATGGAATGTGTATGGACATAAGTGGTTTGCACCGACTGATAACTGCAATAAAGCTACCGGTGTTACGTTCTAAACAGAGTGTGCTTGATATAAAATCAAATTATAATTTTATCAATTTTCGACAGGGATAATGTACACATATGTCACAGTGCAAGCGACAGAAGTTACGCAATTTTGTCAACAATAGCGGGTCAATTTTTGTTTACTCATGTCTCGTTTCGTTGTATCGTTGGTATAATATACTATATATTATCAGGTGCAACTAGGATGACTCAAACGATCCCTTCTCCTCCTGTTTTATGAAGTTGTCCCCGATGACTTTACTGCCGACGGGGTAGGCCTCTACCATTGTAGTGAGACAGATTTACGTCGGAATTTTTACACTAGAATGACTTAAGCTGAATCAATATAGACTACAACACCGTAAGGCTATCTATCATTCAAAATTTTAAAAAAATCATGTGGGAAATTTCGACGCATCAATCTTATTTACGCATGTATATATAGGAATTGGGAAATGACGGAAACCCACAAAATTCCATTAATGAAGAAATACATGTGTTTTGACAGATCGGTGCTTTAATTTATGATGCTCGTTTGTCTGGTATACTGGAAACTCCTCGGGGCTTGTTCTCTCTCCCCCAATCTTCCTCCCTCGATCCCACTATCAGGGCAGTGCCCCTCCTGTGGGGACCATGCTTTCCCCTATGACAGACTATTCCAATACATTCTAATTGTCATACATAATATGATGAGAATTCGGAAGGAATACAAATAATTTAATGTTAGACATAGTGATAGGGAACTAGGGATGGGATTTATACGTGTAGACTTTATATTTATAACTGAGTCTCAATAGAAATGTTCCGTGACTCGATAGAATCTCTACCCCTGCTCGAGGTTAACGGTGTTCCCCTATCGAAGGTATATTGTACATTTGGAGATAAAAACTAGCTTGTTGATAATGATATTCAATGTAGCAATCATAGCCCTTTTTCTACATAGCTCCCTTCAACCAAAAATTGATATGGCTCCCTGTATAATACAAATCCCTATAACAGAGGCCTTTGTAATCTCAGCCCCATGTCCAAGCTTCCAGGCGATCTCTGTCTTCAGATATCTATTGATGTAGTTAACCAATTACAGTAACCAAGAAATGAACTGCCCAAACGTTCACTTTCTAAATACCTTTATCTGTGTGAGGCTTACGAAGGAAAGTGTAATACACTCACTTCTATACCTTAATATATCCACTCCACTTGGTCGAAATTTTTATAGCTTAAACGTAAATTAAGACAGACGAGAATTTTTTCCAGGTAAATCGAGTTTGCGATGTGAGGGGGTCTCGTTATTAAAGCCGTACCTGCTTAGGTTCTAAAACACCGAAATCACTCAAATTTGATTGAGCTTTGTATAATCCCACAGGTGGTCTGCTAATGAGAAAGCAATTAGCATGTGATTAAACTGATTTTATTTTTTATTTCAGAAAATATTTCGGTCTACGATTAATCAGTCATCAGCTTCAAGATTGAATGAAATGAATTCATCATTAAATCAGTTAAAACATTATGGTTAATTAGTGGGAATGTAATTTCACCTTTATTTATGTAAACACGTGCAGTTTACAAAACTCTAGTCAATTTATCAGATTCCGACATATTTTAATGTTTTATACTATTTATTTATTGAACACTTTTATAGAACATGTAATTATTATGTAAATTATACATAGAATAGCAATGACAAAATCCTATAGATTTTACAATGCCATGAAGCTTTGCACCTCAGCGGTAATATATCTATATTAATTACCACCTGAAATAAAAGTGATTAATATAAAACAATATATAATATATACTTACAGCCACCGGATACCATCAGCCAGGGGAGGGATCTGTACGAGGATGTACACTCCTATGAAGGTATATAGACAGTCTGGTCGCTTCATCGTTATGACTAGATATACGACGTGTATCACCAGTTTATCTAGTCCTTGTAAAAAGCTCCAAATGAAACACAAAATCCTCGGTAGGCTTCACGTTTGGGGTGAAAACACAGAAAGGTTTTTTATCAAAACTTTTGATATTTTAAATTCACTATACTACAAACTCGCACGACGTACATCCCCGAGTTAGTCAGCTATCCTGAGAGGTGTGTATAACTCCATCGCAATTTATTCTTTATCAACACTGAGAAATATTGTATACTAGTGTTGTGTATATGTTTACTACGAAATCCACATGTCTCAAATCCCGGCTTACTTTCACGTGATAAATTCCCGTTCCGTGTATATAACAGCAAGTTTTTTCTCCTTCTTTGCACACACTGTTAAATCTTATGCATAAATGAAGAGATCTAGGCTATCCAGCAACACTGAGGGGGATTTCAACAACGGTAACCCCGCCCACTTTTCAGATGAAGGCTTTTCATTGGTTCCGCCCAACCGGAACGATAATGAAGTCGTGAATGTTTTTACAAAGGTGTCGCTTCCTCCACTTGTCCCCTCAATGAATGGAAACGGTCTCACTCGCCTCAAACTCACTCCATGATAGCCTATAGTTAAATAAATCTAATTATGTAGTAAACATCGACTCAGACTGTCTGAATGCGATAATTATAGCTCTGCGTCACAATAATTTTAAAGCGCCTGTTGCAACATTTATTTAAATAATGACAGCGACAGACTGTGAAGTTTCCTGTTATCAAAATAGGTTTAATAATAGATACAAAAATACCTATTGATTAACTAATTGGTATTGAATCAACGGCACGGTGTTACAACAGATTGTCAACTAGAACTACCCGGCATCAGAGTAATAAACAAAAGCTCTATTACGGTATTACTGCCATCCTCTCGGAGTATACTTCTAAACGGTTTTCAGGATTAATATCGAATACAATAAGGAACATATTTGTTCATAGAGAAATTAAAGTTGAGAGCATATGTTGTCATTGTGTGAAATTCTTTTTTATTAGTTTCTAAGAAAATAATTTACATACATATTGCGGTATACAAGCAGATATAGTAAAACATTGTTATTTTCTTAATGTTATTTCTAGAATGAAGATCTCAAAAGATTTTTATTGTCTTTTTTTGGGTGTTTACCGTGGCTCAACATTGATTTTATAAACATTATACTAGATTTAACTGAAGGCTTACTTGTGATTTGTGTAAAGTTCAGATTTTATTATCCTTAGCAAGGTATCAACATATTACCGTTCAATACTTTAACATTCGTACACATCCTCTAAAAATATTAATATTTGAGACAGTCTACACTTATAAACAGCAACCTGACTTAAGAATGATCTCTATTACCTGTAATGCTTACCTGTAGTTAATATGAATTTGGTCCATCCCGGGTCTACTCGTACGTGCTAAAGTACGAGCTGGTATAAACCAATATAATGTTTTCCCTCTACGGCACTGGACGTGCTTCTCACACGCAAACAGACGATAGTCCATCACAATACCCGACGACGGACTGAATCTAGAACGCTCAACTGTTGATCGACTCAAGTCTACAATCTTGAGGAATCTTCAAAGCGTTTGGGTAATTTTTCCCTAACTCCGAAACCCCCTATATATCTTTCGTCTTGCTATATCAGATGTATGAAAAAGATGGTTTCTCTGGTTTAGATATTACTGCCGGGTGTTAAAACTGCAAGCGTTATGTACAGTAAACATTAGCGTGGTTTGGCTACGTTAAGAGCGTTCCTGCAGACGTTTTCCTCATCATCAACTAGTAGCGGTGTTAGCACCATTCTCCTCCCCCTTGCTCTGTCTCGACCCTGTGTCGGTAAACAAACGCATGTAGACGGTCCTGTATCATTGCAATAGACAAATAGTACATTTCACTGTCACCTTGCAGTATGGCTTTACACCTGGTGGTTGGAGGTTCAGAGGAAACACGTACAGCATCCTAAAATACCTGCCTTAACTCTATTTTGACCTTCAATTCCAAACCGTTATGCTGATGAGTTTTCAATTTCAACTGTATGTTTTTTGATTATTTTGGACGTTTAGATAAAATTTAATGGAATGCACGAGTCTATACAATACCATTGAAGTACAACTGACATGGCAATCAAATCAGACACACTATAGTTAATATCTAGCTCCACGTCCGTCAACCATCTTTTTGAACACAAAAAAAAACATGTTTCACTACAACACTCCAGGCCGTTTAACTTTCCAGGTCTTAACACACAAGCATATTGTTTTCAAATTCTAAATACGCAATGTTTGCAAAACAGCATCACCTTGAATGTTGACATATTTGCATGGATGAACGCAATTCGTTTATGAGGTGTTCATGAGTGACCGCTTTGAAAAGGACATGAACTGTTTATTCACATAAGTTCACATCCCTGCAGTTGATCTATGGCCGTTCTGTAGGATGACCGTTTTAGACAGGTGTTTACGTTGTCCCTGGGTATGACAGACGTCCCCTAAAAGTCGCTGTTCAAACGTTTGTTGATAATCCATGTACCTACAGCTCGCCTTGTTCATTTTGTGTCTCCGTCTGGTCGCTATAGACAGTCCTGTTTATGAAACTGCTATGGTATCAGAGTTGTTTAAGTTAGAATAATGTATGAACCCACAACAGACCCGCACATCTCGTCTGTCGTGACTTGTCACTCGAATCCGTGACAAGACCCCGAGCTTCACCGGTGTTAACTTATGTCATCTTATCTTCGACCCTTCTGTATTAAAAAACAATTTATCAAAAGCGGAGAATTTTATCAATAATTACGCATACATAAATAACACGTTAAAAATCCTAGTCCAGCCGATACTCTGATTGTGACGTTCACTTTTAGGTTTCCCACTTATCTCGTCGGTGAATTGAATACCTGGTAGCCAGCTATATGACAAATCTTTTATGAAGATTTTATAACGCTTACAGTATTATATACAGGTGCATGTATGTACATTTGGGGATTTTGCTCTTCATAATAGGACAATTTTTTGTTTAAATCGTGTTACGTACTTGATCTGAAAGTGTACCTCCACGCGTGGTCTCATTTGACGTTTTTAGCCTTATAAGACCGTGTTAGAGCGGTGTTTCCCACTTTGTTATGAAGTGTTTACAAAATGCACACCATGTGTTATATAAACTGAAGTCGAAACCATAAACACATTGAAAAGATACCGACACACAATCTCTACAGTCAGCACAATGCTTTATTCAACATGATCTGTTGAAGCAGTATCATCTGTTACGTTATGCATGTTTCTCCCGTTATCGCTGACCAAGGAAAACGATGCTTGACAGTTAGTATTGAAGAGAGGTTGTTCAGTAACTATATTGCGTTGGATTATTTTACCTCAATTCCTTTACAGATTTGTAGCATCATTTCACTTCAATTCAATTCAGCTTTACTGCATATTGCATCAAAACATTTTTTCACATATGTGGAGCCAACTGCAATTTAACAGGATACAAACACGTAGGTAAACATGTTTCTAGACTTAAACACACTTAAGCACGTTGCAAGCTTGTCCTCCTTTAAATTGAAAAGTCCCTCATTGTCGAAATATTTTGGTTCATTAGCTGATAATAACATTTAGAGATTTTGAATGTCAGTTTATGTTGCAATTGAAAAACAGAAACGCTCGAATTTCTCGTATAGCTTGTGTTTGCTTATGTACCCTTTAAATACGTTTTAGCTTTCATAACATATCGCCTCGCATGAGGCACAGGTTTAGCATGATAACAAATCTTTATATTTCATGTATAGATATGCAAGTATCCAACTTCAAGGTGCCTGCCCAACCCTTAACTTTAAATCTAGATTATATTTTTTTTCTTATATATAAACACCCTGAAATATTTGGATAAATAGATACCTCTCGACTCGACACACTTAATGTCAAAACATAGCACTCAATTGATTTAAATTCCCCACAATTCTAATCTTCGTCGTTTAAAAAGTTTTAAACGTCAAAGCTAGATTGTTATATATCACGGCCATCTTGTTTACCTGCTGATACCTGGTGTGTATTTGAAGCGTCGTTGTGAATGCGTTATTCCACGTAATTGTCAGAGCGAAATGAAGCGTTTCAGAGACTAGGTACTTGTCCAATGGCTGCACTCCTGGTCATGCTGGGAAGAAACGTTTGCTGTTCAAATCATTTATCACACTAGTATTGAAATTCGTCAACAGGCAAATATTCTAGTCATTAATCATAATTTTATCATAATTTCAACTGTCAATGTCCCACCAAGCACTTAAAACACCTTTAATACAAGTGGTCCTATATTTTTTAATAGCAGTGGCAGTTTTCACATTTTTTACGCCGACGAATTTAAAATGATTTTAAGGCCAGCACCAAAACCTGATGTCCGATCGAACATTTTTTGATCAAAAATCGTTTCCCGAGCAATGTGATTTCTTGCATTGTACAGTTGAATATAAATTATGATTTCAGGTGAAGTCAGTATTTCGTCATCATTTCTTGAACAATACATATTGGCGGAAACAACCTTACACCTGACGTGGGCTTATATATGTATTTAGTATCACAATCTGATACACAAATGTCTGATTAGAGTCGAGATAAAGAACTCCATCGGTACAATATCGAGATAAAGAGCTCCATCGGTACAGTATCGAGATAAAGAGCTCCATCGGTACAGTATCGAGATAAAGAGCTCCATCGGTACAATATCGAGATAAAGACCTCCATCGGTACAATATCGAGATAAAGAGCTCCATCCGTACAATATCGAGATAATAAACTCCATCGGTACAGTATCGAGATAAAGAGCTCCATCGGTACAGTATCGAGATAAAGAAATCCATCGGTACAGTATCGAGATAAAGAAATCCATCGGTACAATATCGAGATAAAGAGCTCCATCGGTACAGTATCGAGATAAAGAACGCCATCGGTACAGTATCGAGATAAAGAGCTCCATCGGTACAGTATCGAGATAAAGACCTCCATCGGTACAGTATCGAGATAAAGAAATCCATCGGTACAGTATCGAGATAAAGAGCTCCATCGGTACAATATCGAGATAAAGAGCTCCATCGGTACAGTATCGAGATAAAGAGCTCCATCGGTACAGTATCGAGATAAAGAGCTCCATCGGTACAGTATCGAGATAAAGAGCTCCATCGGTACAGTATCGAGATAAAGAAATCCATCGGTACAATATCGAGATAAAGAGCTCCATCGGTACAGTATCGAGATAAAGAGCTCCATCGGTACAGTATCGAGATAAAGAGCTCCATCGGTACAGTATCGAGATAAAGAGCTCCATCGGTACAATATCGAAAACATTCACGTAGCGTCAATATGCAATACCAAATCGACAGTTAGCTAGGCTAACTCAAATTTGGTACGAAGACAGAAGCAGACACAGGAAAAACAAGAAAACAAAACCAAAGACACCATTGACACACAAAGCAGAAGGAAAGTTAAGCACTTGGTATTCCACCTACTACAAGATCATGTCAGAGGAAGTCAGACGGGGGACCACAAACTACACAACCCCACTCCATGTTAATTTTCTGTTCAGATTTATTTGTGTACCATGTATATCAGAAATTAGAAAGGTGACACACTTCCGAATGGTTAATCACTTCCGGTTTGTTTCATCGCGGGTTACGAGTGTTTCTCCGTCGAAAGAGGAAACACCAAGAAAAACGTCCAAGAAAAACAATATCAGTGTGTATTACCCAGCCGCTCGACATGCACTCAGGAATCGCATGCTAACATATTGTTTTCTAAGAACTGCCATATGATTGGTGTTTACCAGAGAAACCCCTATCACGTGACATGCGTACATTGCTAATAAAAAGCAATGGAGATAACTCTAGGATACTAACACGTGAAAGCAAAGATGTACCCTTGAATGAATGTTACGAATTTGTCACTCTAGTTTTGTGATGTCATAAATATCTTAAAAGAAGAGAAGGAAGGCGAAAGACATTGGAGATTCAATGTACACTTGTTACGTGTACCTCCACCTTGAAGACCTTTACTGAGCTAAACGACCGCTAGACTGATATAGCACCAGGGTCTCGACCCTGTTAAAATCAATGTCGGTAGCTGCCCCTGATCAGAGGCAGAGAACCCAACGCCGACCTAATAATGGCCTACAACAGAGTTTTCGGAAACTTTTATGGCACTATTGTTTGATCAAGTCCGCTTTTAGTCTTTCGTGTCAGTTTACTGTAAATATAAAACGGTCATATAAAATTGATACTCCAGGGACACTATCGGTAGTGAGGAACCGTCCCGTCATCCCCATTATCATTATCAGGCGTTTAGGTTTTACTTTGAGAGATAAAATGGGATAAAAGGGCCCAGAATTGTGCGAGTTAGTCTCGCTTAGCCAGTCTCACGTTGATTCCACGAGACTGCATCGATGCTTGGTTGACCGAAACCATAATTTACGTGTCCGACTTCCGCTTCATGGTTCGCTTTCAAACAGAAGGCTTTCCTTACAACCCGATCATTTATTGTGTTTAGATTATTTTACATGTATAGTGTATATACATAATGTTAAAGAGGTATGCTACCGTATAACACTTCTTCAAAAAAGGGTTCCGCACCGATAGAAAATTGTCGAAAAGTGTCATGAATGGCAATTTGAACTGTCCTATGACGTACACATGAGCAACCCCTACAGTAGCAATAACGGGAGATAACTCTGATGCAATCACAGTTACAATGTATGAAGACTGAAAATATCAAAATGTATTTCCTGTCCCAGTTGTTAAACTTCGGACGCAGATCTTGTCTTTTCTTCCACTTCTTTGTTTTCGGTGGTCTCTCTATCTTGGCACCCATCACCCTGGTTTTTGCGAGGGTCTTCATCTCTAAAAAAGAAATAGAAGATCATAATTTTGATTATAATCCGCATCATCACACAAAAAAAACACCATGTAATTTAACGAATTTGTGACATAGTTATGTCCTGCCAATCCGCTAGGATTTCATAGATCAGAAGAGATTATGCGCATTGCATTGCTTGTTTGAATTCTTGCATGAGCCCTTTTTTGTTTTGCTACCCTATACTTCCATTTTGCCATACATGTTGGGATGAGACTGTAAATAATATTATGTTAAAAAAACGGTATTCATTTGGAATTGGAATAAAATATTTAGTATTTGCAGAATTATAGAAATTGTACTGTATGTAATGAAGTATACGAACTGAGGTCTATTCAAGGG